GCCAAGCCACACCCACGTCACTACTACATGACAAAAGTATGCAAGGCTTCCAGACAGGAGCACTTGAAAAATTCGGACCTCTGGGTGCTGGGGTGGGAATTTCAGACATTCAACCAAGTGCCCATTTTTCAGAGACCCATGAGGGCAGGCACCCACCTTATTTCACCTCTCAGGCCCAAGAGCTCCCTCTGTGCCTGGGCAGAAGGCAAACACTATGCTTTCTCTAGCTGTTTAAACCCACGCCCACCTCTCTGCCTTCCTTTCTGCTTTGGAGACCAGCACTTTCCCTTTCATTTGCTACAGGGATTCAACTGTTTATGATTTAGCGCTGCAAACACCAGTGGGAGGATGTGAGCATCTGAGCAGAAAGCGAGCCAGGCTCTGCATGGGAACGCGCCAGCTCAAGGGTAGCAAAGGGGTGAAAAGAAACGGGCCTGGCTTTGCAGAGTGGTGTCCAGCAAAGGGCTGGCCAGCTGTTTACTAGGGCCATTTGTGTGAATGAGTATGGATTTTGGTGGAGACTGTGATTCACAGTCACAAATTCCCTTTTCCTTTGTTTTCTTTGTGTTGGTCATTGAGGGCTTCCGAGGAAAGTCCCTTTTGAGATTGTATATCTGAAGGCAAGAGCGCCAAATCGGCCACTATGAGCAGCTGGCAGACGCAGGGAGACTTCCTTCTGTTGACCCTGCCTTTCTTAGGAGGAGCAAATAGATTTGCAAATGAGGTACTTAATCAAAGGCAAAGTTAATACACAAAAACCTAAGGGAAGAAACACTGAGTTTCTTGTAAACCGCCTCCCAAATCTGCTGTGCACATAAACATATATGGCTTGCCTGGTTCCAGAAAAGATTTAAGGAATGAATATTCAGTTGATTAAGTGGTCTGACTTTACAGTAGCACCAACCCATGATGATATTTTCAATGGCAACAGTGGATGGACATCTATGTGTTCCATCTACCCCTAATGAAGGGATCTTACCCCAGGTAAGACTATGTGCTTGCTTACTTTGCTGACATGCATTCTGTAGACCCTGAATAAACTATTAAGGATCATGGAGCTGGCAGTCCCACTGTGCTAGCTTCCAGGAATGAGGAATCCTGCAAAGTGGAAGGCACACCCCTTCCCTCTCATCTGGTAGGTGATGCTTGGCTAATACGATACTCCTTGATTTAGGCTCCTAGAAAAATAATCTACTCATTTGTGCCACAGACATACCTTATTTTAAGTAAATCTAACACCTATACGTGCCCTATAAATTGTATGTGAATATTTTTCTTTAAGAAAAGTACTTTAGGAAAGGATTTGCTAATCAACAAATGTTCATTGAGTACTGACAAGGTGTTCCATCTCGAGACGTGACTGGATCCACCCCACCCAACCATAGAGGCAGGAGGGGCCCTACCTGGGAGGGCAGGTAACAGAGAGTGAACCTGGGCTAGCAGGATGTCCAACTCAGCTAGGTGATAAAAGGAGTCCAAGGTATAGGAGCAAAGACGAGCACCTGGGCCAGTGGCCTACAGGAGAAGACAGAGGGAAGGAATTGTAATTATTTTGAACCTAAATTTCACTCCTTAAAAGAGGCAGCCTAAACTTAGTGGCTAAGTGCATGGACTCTGCAACCAGACTCCCCAGGGTTCAAATTCAGATTCTGCTACTTAGTCCTGTGACCTTGTGCCTCCATTTCCTCATCTGCAAAATGGGGTAATAAAGTACTACCTTTGTTGTTGAAAGAATCAAATGAGTAACGCTTTTCGCAGCATGCCTGGTTTACAATGACTGCTATATGTTTGCTATAGTAAGTTCTGAAAAATCTGCTCACGAGTCCACCTGTACCAATGTCCAAAGTGACACTTTATGAGTGACCACTGGTGCCACCTTTTGGGGGGCACAGAGGTGCTCTTGCTTTGCATGGAGTTTTACTTGCACCTCTGAGCATTCAGAAGTAGAAGAGCTTCTGTGAGCGTCGCCAGTGTTTCTTGAGCTTGGCTTGTACAAATCTCATGCTTGGCTTTGTGTGAATGACCTTGCCAAATTCTCATAACAACTCTATGATGTAGGGGGTATTATAGTGGCAGGAATTGAGGAACGGAGGCTTGACCATTTGCCTGAGGCCACACAATTACCAAGTGGCAGAGCCAAACTTCACACCCAGGCTGCACTCCTAACCAGGTAGAGTTTGGTGACAGGAATTCAAAAGCAGGTAATATCTGAAAATCTAGAAGGTAGGCTAGGATTTGGAAGATCTGCCAAGAGATGTAGGACCCCAACTTGGCCCACAGGCAGAATCTCTACCTTGAGGACCCATGACCTTTGAGACTGGGGTCTCTAGGAACAATACGAGAAGGCCGGCATGGGGGACAAGGTGGGCCTCAGGTTTTCCTGAACCAGGCAGTGAATGATGCCCAAAAAGAGAAGAAATGGTGCCTAATAACAGAGACAGAGGCACAGCAAGGGTGCCAGCCTCAAGTCCCTCAGGCCTAAGGTCAGAGGTCTTCTTGAGCTAAGCCTGAGGTCAGGACTGGGTGACTCCAGTTGTGGAGAGAGGAGGAACAGACAACGCAGAACTTAGCATCTGGGCGTCATGAAGTTTACAGTGATATAAAAGACTTGGCTTGCCAATGCGACCCCTCTAAATAGAACATTTAAAATGTCACTTACAGAGATTTGTTTTATACATAAGTGCTCAAGACCACCTCTCTGACTTCATCCGAAGAAGACTGACAATGGGAACAGGTGTGATGGGCACACCCACCTTACAGCAGGGCTGTGTAGATGTAGAGCTTACTAATGAACAAGCCTCACTTCTGCCCCTCCATGGGTCTGGTCCAGGGTTTTACAGATCACAAGAGAGCTTGTTAAAAAATCAGGTTTCCGGGTCCTACTGGCAGAACTCCTGATTTAACCGAGTTTCTGAGGGACCCTAGATTCTGTATATCCCGGGTAGGGCCTAGGTGATTCTGATGCCTTTGGTCCACAGGCCACCTTTACGGACACCCAGGTCTTACGGTGGCTCTGGTCCTCTTGTCTTTATTACTCTTAGCAAGAATACAGAATGTGTGGCCTGACTCAGTGGCAATTTGCGTCTTCTTTGTCATCACCTTCTTCCTGCATTGCCATTTCCCTTGGACTGGACCTCTGCCTGTAACTATAGCAGTGACAGCATACCTGCTGCCTGCTGAGTTACTGTGTGCCTGGCGCGGACGGCACTAAACCCTTCGCGTACGCTCTTCTCTCATTCAATCTTCACAAGCATTCCATGAATTAGGCACTATTCTTATCCACATTTCACACATGAGGGACAAGGGCCCACTGCTAGTAAGTGGCTGGTCTGCCGTATGAGCTCAGGACGAGCGGATTACCAGAGCGCAGACGCATGACCTCTGGGCTCGTCTACGAGGGCAGTTTGGGTTCTCTGCCAGTTCAGCCGTCCTCTCTCACTCTCTACGGTGTCTTTCTCCAGTTAACATCCCTAACTTGCCGACTCCCATTCCCAGACTCCTAAATAATTTCTTCAGAAGATGACGTGTCCCTGAGCCTCCCTACTTTTATCTCACTCAAGAGGTCAAAAAGGGTTGGGGAAATGTGCAGGTAGAAGGTAGGTGCTACGGGTTGAATCGTGTTGCCTCTCAAATTCACATGGTGAATTTCAGAACGTGACCTTATTAGCGATAGCGTCTCTGCAGAGGTGATCCTGTCTAAATGAGGTCATTGGGGTGGGGCCTCATCCGGGAGGACTGGTGTCCTTAGAGAAGGGGAAAGTGGGACACAGAGATGCAGATAGCAGAAGATGACGTCAAGAGACACAGGGAGAAGATGGATCTACCAGTTAAGGAGAGAAATCTGTAATGGATCCTTCCCTCACAGCCCTCAGAAGGGACCCACACAGTCGATATCTTGATTTTGGACTTCTGGCCTCCAGAGCTGTGAGAGAATAAATTTCAGTTGTTTAAGCCACCCAGCCTGTGGTTCTTGTATGGTAGTCCGGGCAAACTACTCAAGTGGGAACCAGATTCTTGGGTGTCCCCTTTAGGCCCTGACTTTGGGACGATCGAGTTAAAGGCCAACACATTATGCCAAGTTGCAGCAACTTTTCTTTAACTCTGAGTGCTTTTCTATGTGCTTAAACAGTGTTCTGGGGAGCCACGGGTAGGCCCAAGGCCCAGCATGGAAGAAAGAATGAATAGAAAGGATGAAGAGGGAGGAGG